TGTATAAAGAACCTTTAAAATACTTTTTTTTTTACTTCCCTGCAAGAGCTCAGCAACATTTATATAAAAACTGCTGGGGTTCCTGGGATGTAATTTATGATGAAATAAGCCCACTTTTTGGGTGCTTCAAATCTTAACACTTGGATTTTTAGCTATTACTGTTAACACAAATCACTTATTTCCTATTTTCTGCTAATATCCAATGCCAGAAGGCAGGTCCATCTTTTAGCAAGCTTCTAACCTCGATTCTCTTCAGGATCTAAAATGTAAACCTATTCATCAGTAGCAATCAGAGCAGATCTGCTTTATATTTTGGAGGTTTTGAATAATTAATACAAAGTTATGTAATCTGTTGAATGAAGCATTAAGTCTGGAGGATGCTCAAAATGTTTTTCAACCTTGGCCACACTAAGATGGGTAGACTTCAACTCCCAGAATTCCCACAGCCAGCATGGCCGGCTGAAGAATTCTGGGAGTTGAAGTCCATCCATCTTAATGTGGCCAAGGGGTCGAAAAACACTGCGTTAAAGGACTCCGTTCACCCTGGAGTAACTTCGGCCATAGCGCTATAGCCTTGTTTTCCTCCACAAATGAAGAGGGAGTCTTAATTGCATCGCCACAACAACCCTGGAGGTAGGCAGGGCTGACTGCTCTGTAGCTCAACGGAAAGTCCAACCGTTGAGCGGCCTCTGCTTGCATCTCACCTACACCGACCCCTACAGGAGCGGAGCGGTATACCATCCCTCGCGCGCCCCTTTCTGGGTAACGTAGTCTCGCCAGACCAACCTCCCTCCTCCCTGCCTTTCCTTTGTTGCCACTTGGCCCAATGGGCGCGCCGCCGCCCTCCGTGCCAGCTTCTCATTGGCCCACCCGGCTGCCCAATACGAGCCTGGAAACGTGGCATTCCTTTGTCGCAACGGGCTTCTCCGCCGTCTTCTTTCCCTCCCCCCCTCCGGTGATGGAACGCGCCAATCCCCGCCGCTGAAGCCCTCGCTCCGCCCGTCTCGAGGCTGTACCATCAGGGAGGCAATAGGGGGGCCCAGAGGGCGGGGAAAGCAAGGCTCGCGAGGGGCAGGGGGCGGATGCTGGCGGCGCGGCGGGCACTGTGGCCGGGCTGGCGTGGCTGGAGCTGTGAACGCAGGAAGATGAAGTTGCTGGCGGCTGCGGCCCTGCTGGGGCTGGGCGGGGGTCTCCTGATGCTGCTCTTCCCAGGCACTCATGCAGAGGAGCGCAAGAAGGGCCCCAAGGTCACCGTGAAGGTGAGCAAGCGGGGGTGGGGGGGGGAGGCACCCAGGCTCAATATTCCCCATGCATCCCCCCCTTTCCAACACCCTCTGGTTTTGCAGCGGGATCCGGCGCCCATGCAGCGCCCCTTCGGATTGCAACAGCCTGGCAGCTGGTCAGGGTTTTTTTTTTGCTTCCTCGGCGTGCATTGGCGCGCGTGCACGTCTGGATGTGCACGCACACGTGTATTAAGACCGACGGGGCGGGCGAGCAACGGGGAACTCTAATCCCCTTGAACCGTTCAGATTACAACGAGCCTCCGGGATGCTGCTGCTGCTGCTGCTGCCCGAGCCCCCGGTAGGGAGGTCTGCCTGCCTCGGTTAAGGTAGCATGGGAGGTGAGTGGGGAGGTTTGCACGCGAGTCGTGCGGGCACAGGCGCTCCCCCATGAAGCAGGGTCTCCAAACAAAAAAAAAAAAAGAAAACCATTAACAGAGTTGGAAGGGACCCTGGAGGTCATCTAGTCCAACCCCCTGCTCACGCAGGAGACCTCTAGTAGGGATTCGAACTGACGACCTTTCTGATCGACGAGCTCAGTGTCTTAGCCATCTAGCCAGAGGACGATGGGCAATCCAGGAGGAGGATTGCCCATCGTCTGATGCAGTGTTTCTCAACGTTGGCAACTTGAAGATGTCTGGACTTCAATTCCCAGAATTCCCCAGCCAGCGACTGCTGGCTGGGGAATTCTGGGAGTTGAAGTCCGGACATCTTCAAGTTGCCAACGTTGAGAAACACTGGTCTGATGGTCCCCTCTTAGTTGCAAGGTGAGGGTTGGAAGGCTGGCATCTTGAGCCCCAGAAGGAAGAGGGGTTGTTATTGCTGGCTTGCTTGCTTTCTGGGGGACTAGCATGCTGCACGGCTGCAGGATTGGCCCCGAGGAAGCCCACCTACATCCGGTGGGATTGATTCCCACCGGATGGTGTAAATCCAGGATTTGCAGCCTCTGAAATTAAGGCAGGGAAATGACCAGGATGATGACATGGCATTTTCAAAAGGCTAAAAAAAATGGGCTGCGATTTCTTGGTGAATAAAGAGTATTTGGGGAGGGGTGAGGAAAGCCACCCAGGCCTGAAGAATTAGGCATCTGTTATTACCCTCCCCCCCCAATGGCAAAGGATTCTGCCATTCCCAGGAACTGTTAGCCACGTCTGAGATGATAATACGATGAAGCTGTGGTATATTATTGTGATAAAAGCATCTTAAGCCTGCTGCCCATTCAGACAGTCATCTGCATCCTCAGGCTTAGAATAACTTTATTGTCCCTTTGAATGTACGCTGATCAGCGTATATTAAAATGAAATTTCATTGCCTACAGCTCTCAAAGGGTCACCGCCTCTAATATACACTACAAAAGCATTGATTGAATGAATAAATGCAACATTATACATATACCCACTAATTATATTTATTATATTATAGTATATTTATTATATCATATTTTATATTATATTATATATTAATTATATTATATTATAGTCTAGTATATTATACTATATCTATTGTAGTATATTTATTATAGTATATTATAGTCTATCTATTGTATATTATAGTATATTACACATATTATATTTATTACAGTATATTATATATTAATTATAGTATAGTATAGTATAGTATATTTATTATAGTATATTATAGTATATCTATTATAGTGTATTTATTATAGTATATTATATTATATTTAGTATAGTATATTATATTTATTACAGTATATAATTGTATTATATATTATATTATATATTAATTATATTATATTATAGTCTAGTATATTATACTATATCTATTGTAGTATATTTATTATAGTATATTATAGTCTATCTATTGTATATTATAGTATATTACACATATTATATTTATTACAGTATATTATATATTAATTATAGTATAGTATAGTATAGTATATTTATTATAG